ATGTTTGATCGAAAAGATAAGATAAAAATTTCAAAAAAAAAAATTGGTGTCTCCATAAAAAATAATAATAAAAAAAAAATTATAAATGTGACAGAAAAAATATTCTTTAATTTTTTTTTGAAAGCTTTAAAACTCAATTAATCACGTCTGTTTTTATATGATAATGCGCCTTATATGAAATTTTCATTCAACACAAATATTATTAAAAAAGGAAATAATAAATTATTAATTTGAAATTAATAAAGCACTGAAAATATGAAAGTGAGTGTAATAGTAGAGAAACTGGTTTTGCAATACTTTATATGAAAACATTAGTGAAATGTAATTTATACTGCACAATAGTGTCACAATACCAAAGTCAATATTGAATTTAATTGGAAAAGCATTATTTGACAAGATGCTGTCCATAAAAATTTGCTTTTTCTACTATAAAATCTACGTCATTTATGAAGATATGCTTAGTATGTATAAAAAAAATTAGTTGTCATATAAGCTGCAAAATGTGACAATGTGACAAATTAAAATTTTAAATTAAATAAAGCAATGACTCGTTTGTGCTTATTATGAATTTAAAAGTATTTAAAAGTAAAGTTGGTTTAATTACTCCCTCTTATAAAAAATTTAACAAATTTGGTAAATGTTGAAACTACTGTCAAAATTCCAGCCGACTGAGTAATTATTGACCTACAAGAGTATTAAAAAACTATTACTACTATTGTTGTAATAGTAACTGTTACTACTAAGTTGATACTACTGCCCGAGTTTATTTTAATGGAATACAATACTCAAAATCAATACCAGTCTGATGTAGTTTCTGAATGTACTCACTATTTTGTATGAATAGCAATGGAAATGTGCAACTTTTGCAAATATTGAGAATTTGAAATTTATTTCACGTGTCATATGTGAGTTTATAAGTCAAATTGAATTCACAATATTCTTTTTGTGATTTTGAAGAAGTAATAGCATTTTCGAGACGAATTTATAACTACAAAATTTAAATTTATTGTATTAGACATAAAATTTAAATGAAATTTACAGAAACAATTAATTGGAAATATATTAAATATGTAGGTATTTTATAATATTATAAAATTGTAATAAATTTTATAATATTATTTCAATGTAAAAAATTAATACTTTCATGGATATGTAGGATTATAATTATAAGCCTACGACTAAGACTGTTATTCGGTATATTACTAAACTTAATTAAAACAACAAAAAACAAGACACCATAATATAAAGTGAAAGTGATTGCAATTTTAAACTGTTTATAGATTAATTCATTATTAATAAAAAAAAAAGAAAATAAATAAAAGATATCATGTTCGATTTTATTACAAATTTAGATAAAAGAGAAAAACATATCGATATCTGTAAAAAATAGCAAAAAAATCAGTAATATGTACAAACATATGCACATATAAATTGAGTATTCAAGGCTATATATAGAAGTTGATTAAATTTGTTGTAACAAAAATTGTTTTCATTTTATGTACAAACATATTAAGTATAAAAAGTTTTTTAAAGCGCCTTACATCTACACAACCAACAGAAATAATCAATCATCATATGAAATCAATTGAATATTGTATGATTTGCCAACATTAAATACATGTTCAATCCTATGACAGTTATTTCATTTATGACATATATTCATATGTATGTACATATGCACGTATTTAAAAAAAATATATAGAGAAAGCTTTAGCTCCTCGGTCGTAAGTCTATGTTGGCTACATACAACAAAATGTCGATATATAACCAAATAACAAAGCCTATATGGACATATGTACGTTATACCATTATTGGGTTGTGCTAAGCAAATACATATCAAGTAAATACAAACTTTTCAGAACAAGGTTCTTCAGAATATGGTGGATACTCCCTGTACGCAGGTATGTAATAGTGGCATTGGTAGGGATTTGGATCTGCCCGAAGCAGTTGAAAAAACTAATTAACTGTGCCATAAACCATAAGGTACGTCTGGAGCAGCATGAGGATATTGAGGCCTCTCAATAGGAAGAGAGTTTGGACAGGAGGAATGAAACGAACGAAAACTCTAGAATAGACACAAAAACACGATAGAGCAAAACACTTAGTTTGATAAGTTTTAAGAAGTTATGGCCAGATCCGGTGGGGTTTAAGTAGATTAAAGTCATAATATTATTTAAAATGTTTAGAGTTTGTGAATTTAAATTCACAATGACACTTTTGTCATATTATCAATATGTTATTGAACAAAGTTACACACATGTATTTTAAACAATAGCAGAAACAAAGATTATGTAATTTTAGTTTTAAAATAAACGTCAAATTAATGAAAGATATTTATCGACAATCCGACTCGAATCAAGAGATTAACATAATGAACAATTAATATGAAAAATTTGTTAATGACATGAAAAATTTATTATTAAATATTTAATTTTCTATTATTAAATATGTTTGTTATTATCTCCTTCAAAAGATTAAATCAAAATCCATTTAAATTTACACATAATTTATGTTTTAATTCACAATAGATTTTTTCTTTACTTTTGACACAATATTCAAAAGAAACTTCATTCATAAGCGTTACTGATAAATAATAAAATATTTATTTTAAATGCTTAAAAATGTAAAATTACAAAAAAATACAAATTTTTATAAACATCAAAATTTTTTTGAAAAAATACCAATAAAAACCTACAATCAACATCTTCAACTAAAAAAAAAAAAGAAACGAGAAAAACAAATTTTCTGTCAATTACTTATCAAAACTATCATTTTGTAAATAAAAAAAAATAAAATAAAAATTTAATGATTTTCTCAAATTTTTTTTTTTTTTGTAAATTTAAATATTCATTTTGTCGCACAATTTACTTTAATTCGATACTTTGAATATTTTCTACAGTCTAATTAACAGTATTTATTTTTTGTGTCAAATTTCAATGGGTGTCATAGTATGTCAGTTAAATGACACTTTAGCGCATATGTCGTATATAAATTTTCATTGTCAAAATAAATCATAAAATTTTTTAATATTTTCTTTTATTTTCTCTTTATTGTTTTGGTTTTAACAATGATGTTTTTATTTAATACCGGCAATATGACCTTGTAATGTATTTTACATAAGTAAGTAAGTAAATATGTATATATACATATATATATTAAATCATTATTTAATTTTTGTTTATTTATTGTACTTGATTTTAATTTTTTATCTTTGTATGCAAGCATTATTACTACAAGCATATGTAAATTTTTAGAAAATATTCGGCTTTTTAAATTTTATAAAATTTAATTTTTTTTACTTAATGCTTGTGTGTTTAGGTATTTTGGTAAATATAATCGGGGAAATCTTATTCGAAACGAAACACGATTATGCGGAGTTTCCAATTGCTACGACAGCGAAAGTCGTACGAGATGTCGTAAAAATGTCATTGTCGCAATTCAGTTTATTTTGATAGCGACAGTAATTAAATCAAAAATAAAATATAAAAAATTTTATTAATTTATTTTTTTAATTTCTTCTCTTTTTTGTTTTTCCATTGCTTTTTTTAATTTTTCGCTTGAAATTATAATATAATGACCGTTTTTCTCGCATTCAATTGTCATCGCATGCTGCAGCGAGAAATATTTTCCTCAATTCTACTACTGTCGCTGTTGCATGTTAATAAGAATGTAAAGTCTTATGCAAAATTTTTAGAATGCAATATAAAATCCCAACTTTGACGTTCCTATGACCTATACTTATTAAAGACACCAATATTGGAAATATTGGACTCTTTTATTAAAATTTTTTCTAAGATAGTTTCTATTTCTAAAATACGACTGTGTGTTCTAAAAAATTCAAAGTTGTTTACAAAATTGACATCATGTGGTGTGATAAATTTAATGATTTTCAAATTATTCAAACAGCGAACACAAACAATTTAACGCTTTTCAGTCAATTTGTTCTGACGAACGCACATATCTCACATTTATGTATTTAAAAAGATTTTAGATTTGAATACTTATCGTTTCATCCATATGCTAAAATATACACATATGTACATACATACATATGTACATATATTGTTACATTGTTTATAATTTTTTTTTTGGATAAATAAAGAAAATTATTAAAAAAATAAACAAATTATCCAAAATCTCAAGATTATTTTTGCCAAAATTAGCAATCAACTAATTTTTTCTTTGTATCCGGATCAAAATGTTTTTCATACTTATGAAAAGAAAAATAAAAAAAAAATATAGAAAATATAAAATTTTTGTTAACTTTTTATTATAAACAAAAATCGATATTTTTTATAAACGAAACTATTTGACGCTGAAATAATGACAACTCAAACTCTTCATTTTTTTTGTGAGAAATCAGTATAAGTATATACCGATACCATTCTATTTGACCAATGTCCATTATATTTATAATATAATTGGTATAGAATTTTCAATGAAAATGTCTAAGTATTTGGCTTAAATAATCAAATAGTAGGCATTGAAGTACTCTTTTTTGTCAATGCACTATAATTTAAGACTCATTAGACATGTATATAGAATGTAGGATTTATTGCAAATATTTAAACGAAAATTATGAGATATTGGGTTTTGGACCACACATTACAATTTAGTGAATATTAAGCGTCATCATTTCAGATTCAGAAATATATTAGATTTTTATGATTGTTCGACCAATAACAGTCCCAAATTTCCTCCGTCATTATTATTATTGTACATTATAAGCAATGCACAATTTATTCACATATATTTAAATTCCATTACAACAACAACATATGGCAAGGATTCATCGAATATTATATAATTTTGCTTGTAACTATAGTGAGATTTAAAATTGTTCGAATATAATTCTAGTTAAAGCCATTTGCCTCTTTACAAATCATTTATTATAATATGTATTTAATATATGTAATAGTAATGGTAACAATGAAATGCAAAATAAATTCACTTACATATGTTTTTAAATTTAATTAAAAAAAAACTCTTAAAATACTTACTGCTATAATATATTTGACGCGAAAATGATATGCTCCATAAAATCCAAATATAACAAAAATTATATGAAAAAAATTTGCCAATATTGGTGCCCACATAAATCCAAGGAAATCAAATACTTGTCGTTCGATAATTGTAATCTGTAAAATAAAAAAATGATAAAGAAAAAATAAATTATGTGTTTTTAAACATTTTAAAATAAGAACTACACATAATACACACACATGTATAAAAAGAGATAAATGACAATCAAATATTTACGATATTAAATTCAAAAGAATAAAACAAACGCATATCATGAACACATGTTAAACGCATATATTAATAGCCGAAAATAGGGTTGGGCTCAACAACAAGAAAAACAAAAAACGGATCTTGGAATTAATTTAAAAAAAAAAAAAACAAACAAAAATCAAAAAGTCAGCCTAGACGAAGACACGTTCTTCGTTTTTTGTTTTTTTTTTTTATTTAGAAGAATTTTTAGAGCGGAAGGAAATGTTTTTTTTTTTTCTTTCTTTAATGGTATGAATGTAAAAAAGAAAAACTATAAATAAAAAATTTTTTAAATAATGTGAAAAAAATTTCATTTATGTTTGTTTTAAATTGAAAAATAAAATACAAGAGTATTGTGCTCCGTTTCAAAATGTAAGGGAAAAATAAAATTGGTTAAAACAAAAATATTTAAAAAGTGAAACATCTAAGGAAACCGCAAATTATTTGAGACAAAAAAAAAATAAAACACGGGACACAATAATTTGTTCATCATTTGTCGTTTATTAAAAAAAAAATCTCAAAAAAAATTTTATTCAGTATTACCGATTATGCACTATTCTTTAATTTTTGTAGGGCCCAAATTCTGTGTTTTTTTTTAAACCATTGAGTTTTGTACCACAAAATACATACATACATAATTAGCATTTCTCGATTTGCATCAGTTCATAAAACTATACACGAAAAATTAAAAAGACTTATTTACGGGATTAAATTATAATTATTCGGAATCGCGGGGTATTTATTACTTACAGACTTGTATAAAATAATTATTCCCAATAAAATATAGAAAATACTAGAATCTTACAGTAATGAGATGCCAACGCAACAATGGACCTCTCAGTTTTCAGTAGTATGAACTTTTATGCTAATTGGACTAGTATTTATTTAGTATACTGAAAATATGTAATAGAATTTTTTCAAAATTGTACAAGAGTTTATTCAAAATTGTACCAAAATTATCTTTAAATTATACTAGAATTTTATTTAAAATTACACTGAAATCGAAAAAATTGGAACTGATTCAAAATTTATTGATTTACTTATTAACATTTTAAGAGTCGGTTTGAGAAGATTCAACTCTCTGTTCAAAACTATGGTAGTACATTTACAAGGGATTTGTTTCAAACACGTGATGAACGATGATGGTAAAGATAATGAAATTTTGCATCTTTTTTCTCATTCTAGTTTTTATAAAAAATTTATTCATTATTTACAGAAAAAACAAATACATACATATATGTACATATATGTATATATTATTTAGTGTTTCATATATTGAGAAAAATTCAAATTTTTTTTTATGATTTCCATAAAAAAAAAGTCGATTTTTATTTTTTTCCTCTTTGACTCTTGAACTTATTTTGTATAACATAAAATATACATATTTCAATTTCAATGGTAAAGAAATTATTTCTTTTATGATAAATTTAAAATGTTAAATCAAAAATATTGACTTCAATAAATAAAAAATAAGAAGAAAAAATTAAATTTAGTGCCACACAAAAACGGAAATGTAAATTTAATTTTTTCCGTTTTATTAAAGAAATTTTATTGAAAAATAAGAAATATAAGAAATCGATATTATTTTTTTAATTTCATAATACGAGTATTATAATTTATGAAGACTATGAAAATTTTTTGAAACAACTTTATTGAAAAATAAAACTTTAAAAAAGGAAAAAGAAAAAAGCTTAAAATTTATAACTAAAAAAATTTTAAATTATTTTGTACACTTAATCAGGAAATGAATTAGATTTGCATTAAGTTTTGGATATCCGGACAAAACTTTATAACTTTTACGTAATCAAAGAAAACTTTCTATTTGAAAACACAACAAAAATAGTTAAATTTAGTTAAGAGAAATTTCGTTATTGTGATTGCAAAAAATTTCTAAAAGACCTTCAAAACACTATTTTATTAAGTTTGGCTCAATTAAATCATAGCAATCAGTTAAAATTCAAGAACAAGAAATTTGAAATTGGTTTCATTCTCTATTTCTCGCATTTTCAAGTCACCGCATTTAAATTGTCATTTTTCAAGTTAGATTTTACCCTCATTTTCTTAATTATATTTGCTACATTTTTAATAGATAATTTTAATAGATAATTTTTGATGTAAAAATTTTTGAATCACCTATCGGCTAAAACTTGTCGCCATTCGAAATAAAGTGACTAAATTCTCTCAGTTGAACATCATTTTACACAAATACATGCTCTCTTTTCTCTCACCCGGTGAATAAACAATGAAATGCAGAGTGGGACCAAGACCAACATATTCTGGATACGGCTTTATATTGTTATTCATACAAATCATGTAAAACATTATTTTTTGCATTCTCCTTGAGATATGATGATTGATGACACTGATAACCAACAACAAATAACAATACAGATAATTCTCTTCTATTAAAATGCAAGAGAATTTAATCTTTTTTGCAATGTCATTTTTTATAGCACTTTGAAATGTGTACGTTTATAGTTTTTTTAATATTAGTATAAGCATTCAAAGCACATCCTCTGTAGTATTTCAATTCGAACATTGATCCCATAGTGTCTGAATATAAGACTGTGAGTTCTTAGGGGAAGGATTTTACATCAAATAAAATTTTTTATGCAATATGCTAGATAAAAATTACAAATTTAATGGAATTGAGGAAAAGAAATCAAAGCAAAATTTTATCTTAAGGAAAGAAACCAAAAAAAAAAAAATTAAAAAAATTTTTAACAAAATTTTTAACAAAATATTTTGGTAGACTTCTACTCGTATACCGAATATTTGTTGTATATGCCATGCAAGTGTCTTCCATTTTTTTTTTTTAAATTCTGATTTTTACTACAATTTTATTGATTTATCAATATTTTAAATCTTGAAGGTTTGCCAAAAATAAAATTTTTTTCTCTTCTTTAAAATGATTGAATAATTTTTTTTTGTATTCACTTGCATCTAAGAGTAAGTATATGACTATGTACTAACATCTAAATATACAAACATATTTTATATCTAAAATTGTATTGAAGTTATATAATTTATCTCAAGGACGTAATAAATATACAAAGCTTATTTTAATGCACATTTTCTCTTCATTCAAAATAAAGAAAACAAAATTATTATTTTTATTATAATTTACACAAACACAACTACAATTATCTTTCCTAAATAATAATTAATTACCGGATGCAGATCAATATATAGAAAAAATTTTATACCAAAAAAAAAAAACATAAATAAAATAATTTAGAATTGTTTTTATTTTGAAAGACTCGTCGATTCTAAATGCAATAATACCATATTGACAGGCTGATAAAATTGGGCGTGCCAAAAACAATACCTATATATATATACAAATTGTGGGTACATATGAAAAATTTATAGTAGCTTTAGAATAAAAAATTGTATTTAGAATTTGTACACGTATACACTGCTAATAAATAAATATAGAATTTGAATAAATTTTTAAATTTAGAAATTATAATTAAAGGGTATTTTTTTTTTTTTGGCCATCATTTCGTAAAAAACCCAGGCCATATTTATATAACGAAATAGAAGAATAAATGAAATAAAATTGTTATCTAGCATTCTGGTAACATGTTGGGCTTAGCCAATGTTATTAAATCAATTTTGTTCTTAACATTTAAAATAATATTTTTTTCCATAAGTGAGTCTTGACATTAATAAATATGTAACTAGTTAGAACAATATTCCTTAATAAGTTCTATATTCTATTGATACCAACTATCAAAATTAGAAACATTACAAAAACTTTCGATATCTGATTTCTTTATTTTTCTTTTCCTCCCGGAGACTTAGGCCTTTAGGCCCTTTTCACGTCGACTCATAGGATCTTTTGTGATTCCCATCCCCGACTACATTAGCTCTACATCTAGGCCCCTGACAAATCGCAGTATGACAGCTACATCAAGCTGCAACATCCTTCTCGGGGTCACAAAGCCGCCCCCTAAGCAACTCAGTCGCGAACTCCTCCTCCTCCCATCCACTCAGGGCAGACAAGACCGTTATTCCTTCAGCAGCCTGTACGATGTATTATTACAAACTGTATACGATCTCATTAATATCCCTAACTTCGAATTCCCACTTTCATCCTTGAGTAATATAATACAAAATTGGTTGTTGTTTTTAATGGTGGTGAACTCATAAAATCACTGTGGTCATAATATCTATATTGCTGTTTCTTTTAATTTAAGACCCCTAAAATTATGCAATAAAATATATTTTTGATTGTTAAATGGAAATTAAATAGCCTTATAAATAAAGTTAAATTAAAATTCACGTATTTGTTCATCGTACTATTCGTAAAGTACAATATTAATTTCTTTTCGACAAATTTTTAAGCTTTAAAATTTATTACAACTTTCTACAGTAATTTTACTGTAATTTGTAAAGAACCATCCTGTTTGATTACTATATTTTATACAAAAAACCAATTATCGCAATAAAATAATTCTTTTATATTATTAATGCAAGTATTATTATTATATTAGTATGGTGAATTAACTAAGCGCATATAATTTGTATATTTTTTAGCTTTAACTAACTATAATATACGTACGAGCATGCATACAATAACAACACTTAGAATTCACCTAATTCAATTTTAATAGTATAACAATAATAATAATTTAATTCAATACAATTAACATATAATATAAACTATTCAAAATGTATAATGCAGCTATATACTAGATTAGTACATATTGGGTTCGGAAAATCAAACCGAACCAAATGAAAATTGAAAAAAAAAAAAAAAAGAAAATGAGTTTGTATTTTTCTAATTTTTTATTTTCATTTTCTTTTTTAATTTTATCCCCTATATATATTTCGATTTATATTGAATAATTTATCAATACAA